TCTCCAAGGCGCTTGAAGACAGGACAAGAAGCAACGGATGGAAACCCATCAAGGAGAGAAGCAACCTAGAACTAAGGAGAAACTTCCTGACAGTGAGAACAATTAATCAGTGGAACGACTTGCCTCCAGAAATTGTGGGTGCTCCATCACTGGAGGCTTTTAAAAAGAGACTGGACAGCCGTTTGTCTGACATGGTAGAGGGTTTCCTGCTTGAGCAGGGGGCTGGACTAGAAGACCTCCAAGGCCCTTTCCAATTCTGTTATTCTATTATTCTGTTATTCTTAGACGAGCTATCAAGGAGAGAAGCAACCTAGAACTAAGGAGAAACTTCCTGACAGTTAGAACAATTAACCAGTGGAACAACCTGCCTCCAGAAACTGCGAATGCTCCAACACTGGAAGTTTTTAAGAAGAGACTGGACAGCCATTTGTCTGAAATGGTATAGGGCTTCCTGCCTGAGCAGGGGGTTGGACTAGATGACCTCCAAGGTCCCTTCCAACTTTATTATTATTATTATTATTATTATTATTATTATTATTATTATTATTATTATTATTATTATTGTATTCTGTGCAGCTTTTCTGTAACAAGTGAGGGGAAATCGTTGGCATCAGATAAAAGAGCTTGGATGGACGCCATTTCAGATGTAATCACATTCACGGGAGCTAAGAAATTGAGAGAGGCGGCCACACACCCGGCAGTCGTACATAGGTAGTCCTCAACTGTCAACAATTCATTTCGCGACCGAAGTTAGAACAGCGCTGAAAAAAAGGACTCAGGACTAACCCTAACCGTTGCAGCATCCCCGTGGTCCTCTGATCAGAATTCAGACACGGGGCCACCGCCTCATATTTAGGACGGTTCGCAGTTTCCCGGGATCATGTGATCCTCTTTTGCAACTTTCCGACTATCAAAGATTCACTTTGCAACCGTGTTACTAACAACCGTGGTTGATTCCCTTAACAACTGTGGCAAGAAAGGTCGTAAAATGGCGCAAAGCTCACTTACGAAGTGTCTCGCTCAGCAACGGGAACTTTGAGCTCCATCGTGGTTGTAACTCAAGGACTATCTGCACAGGGTGCCTGTTCAAAAGAGAGAGGAGCATCTTAAGCCGAAACCATTAAAAAGCCAAATTTGGCTTCTCCGGAAACAGAAGAATTTTATAAGGTGTACAAAACAAACCGGTGAGAGTTGCATCAACAATGGGCATCAAAAACCCAGGATGGGCTTTGATCAACTGACTGAGATCACCATTTGACTGTAGACCAGGGGTCCCCAACTCCCGGTTTGTGGACCAGTACCGGGCCATGGCACACCAGCAACCGGTCTGCACACACAAGGAACAGCTTGCCTTCAGACGTTGTGGGTGCTTCATCACTGGAGGTTTTTAAGAAGAGACTGGACGGCCCCTTGTCTGAAATGATATAAGGCAGTGGTGGCGAACCTATGGCACGGGTGCCAGAGGCAGCACTCAGAGCCCTCTCTGTGGGCATGCGCGCCATCGCCCCAGTCCTAGGCCTTCAGCTGGGTTTTACAAAACCTTTTTGCTTTAGGCCTCCGTCGCCGTGTGCAAAAAAAAAAAAAAAGTTCAATCAGTCAATTTCAACTTCTTGGGGGAAAAAAAAAAGATCTTGCAAAGTTGGAATTGATTGATTGAACTTTTTAGTCCCACCCAGTCTGCCCTTACCACCGCAGCCACGCCCACCCAATGGGCCACACGCACCCGGCACTCGACGATGCATATGTGGGTTTTGGGTTGCAGTTTGGGCACTCAGTCTCTAAAAGGTTCGCCATCACTGATATAAGGTCTCCTGTTAGAGCTGGGGGGGTGGACTAGAAGACCTCCAAGGTCCCTTCCAGCTCTATTCTATTCTCTGTGGGAGGCAGGCAGCACACAAAACCACGCACCCTCCGGTCCGCGGAAAAACCTCTCTCCACAGAACCGGTCCCTGGTGCCCAAAATGTTGGGGACCGCTGCTGTAGACCTTCCTAAATGTACTAATCCTGGATGAAAAGAAGTAGAAGAATTGTACAGTAGCCAATTCAAAGTGGTGTTCTTTTAATGGCAACTCATAAAATGCCTACACCTTGCATCAACGCTGATTGTTAACTGGGGCAAGGGCTGGAAAGGTTGCCAGCTTTCCATCCTTAGCTATAAATTACCAGAATTGGTCAGTCGTTTTTTTTCTGGTTTCATGGTTTCACTTTTGGTTTTCTCTGCCTTTTAAGGTGTGTTTTATTGATCCGTTGTGTGTTTTGCTGGGTCCATAAAAAAATGAACAAACTGAGCAACGAAAAGAAAAAAAAAGGCATTTGGCAAAGGGTTTTCGGTATCTCCTTCGTGCGAAGGTGCGAATTCTTTACACATTCTCTGTGCTCGCTGGGATCTGTTGTCTTTCTAAGTGGTATCCACTCCACTCCGTAGGATCAGCCTCCGTCTCAGGTTGCCCCCGTCTAAATGAAGAGCTTTTCAAAGTAGATTCTACCCTGATGACTTGGTTTTTTTTGGCTACTTTGCCCCTATTGTTAAGTCCTTCTACAGGGAGTCCTCGACGTACGACCACAATTGAGCTCAAAATTTCCATCGCTAAGCAAGACAGTTGTTAAGTGAGTTTTCGCCCATTTTACGACCTTTCTTGCCACCGTTGTTAAGGGAATCCTTGCAATTGTTAAGTTATTAACACGGTTGTGAAGCGAATCAGGCTTCCCCGTTGACTTTGCTTGTCAGAACAAACATGACCCGGGGACACTGCAACCGTCATAAGTCCGAGTCAGTTGCCAAGCATCTGAATTTTGATCCTGTGACCATGGGGATGCTGCAACGGTCGTTAAGTGTGAAAAACAGTCCGTTGTAACTTCAAACGGTACTAAACGAACTGTTGTAAGTCGAGGACCTCCTGTATTTCTCTGTCTCTTGAGCTTCTCCTGCAGCTGTTAAAATGCTGTACTCCTACAACGTGTTTCTCTGTGATTCTCCCACATTGTTTGTCTTTGTGACTGTTGGTATCTGTCTGTTTGTAAAAGGGGTTTGGTTCTTTCCTTGGACTTTGCCATCTGCATAAAATTGGTGGTGGTGGGTGGATGATTTGACTCCCTGGCAACCTGGAGCCTCTTCTGCCCCTTTTCTATCCTCACAGGTGCTGTCTTTAAAGTCACCATCACCGGGCCTTCTCATGTGGTAGAAAACCATCCTGTCACTTTGCGGTGTTCCTCTTTGGGTTTCAATGTTTCCTACTCCTGGTTGAAGGCAGGCCAACCGATTGAAGGAGGAGGGAAGGTCCTTGTGGAGAACCACGGCCAGACCCTCACACTCCTTTCAACTGCTCGGAGTGACGCAACCAGCTATTCCTGTTCTGGGCAAAATAGCTTCTCTGCCAACAGCAGCGAGCCTCACCGGCTTGAAATCTTTTGTAAGTTTAGGCTGGAGGCGGTGAGATGTCCCTTCCCATCCTGCCAGTGGCTAGCCACCGGTTGGCCCCTTTTAATTGACCCTCCGGGAGTGGGATGGCTCAGGGGTTCAAGACACTGAGCTTGTCAGCTGGAAAGCTGACAGCCCAGGTTCCAGACCCGAGCATCGCACGACGGGGTGAGTTCCAGTTCCTTGCTCCAGCTCCTGTCCGCCTAGCAATTGGAAAGCATGTAGCTGCGAGTAGATAAATAGGTACCACTTTGGTGGGAAGGTAACAGCGTTCCATGTCATGCTGGCCACAGGACCACGGAAATGTCTTCAGATAATCCTGGCTCCCTCGGCCAAGAAACAGATGTGCCCTAGAGTCAGACACAACTGGACAGAGGAAACCTTTACCTTTAATAGACCCTTGATAGGAGATACAGTGGTACCCCAGTAACTTGTCGTTAATTGGCTCCGGGAGGCGCCACGAGTAACAAAAACAGTGAGTCCCAAACCAATTTTCCCATGGGGAAGAATGTGAATATACGCAATGCATTCCTAAACCAAAGACAATGCACATTTTTAAGGCAATATATAAAAAGATAGGGTGGGATATAAAGCTAGCAATTAATGCATACGTAGATGAAATAAAATAAAAACTTCACTGTGCAAAACTACACAAAATGACCACGGAAACTAAGATAAGGCTGCAACAGGTTGTGCACAGGGCAAGAGCTACTGTGTGAAAGGATAGCGAGTCACGAGGCAGCTGACATTGACAAGTTCTAGCTTGCCTGTTGAATACCAAACAAACGACAAGTACCGGGACAGTTTTTTTCAGCAAGAGGTGTTGAGTACCAAATTGATGAGTTTCAAAGCAGCTGATTGCCAAGGTGCCACTGTAAATGCCTTTTGACACTCTTTCCTCCCCAGCTAACTGAAGACAGCTGGCTTTAGAACAGTGTTTCTCAACCTTGACAATTTTAAGGCATGTGGACTTCAACTCCCAGAATTGCTGGCTGTGGAATTCTGGGAGTTGAAGTCCACATGCCTTAAAATTGTCAAGGTTGAGAAACACTGCTTTAGAAGGAAGGAGAACCAGCCTCAAATAAATTTACAATCTTAGCCATTGTGATTGGTTCTAGTCCCTCTCTGTCTTTTCTTGGAATGGCTGATTTCTGGTTAATCTGCATCCAGGGAAGGATGAGACTTTGGCCCTTCTATTTAGTTTTTTTTTTTTCCTGACCTGTCCTACTTGGCAATTATTCTTTCAGCCCAGGGAATCAAATGAAATTCAGGCTCAACCTGAAGGCAGGAAATGTTGGTGATTTGAATTCAGGATCCAGTCCTGTCATTGATTACCAACAGCCAAGAGGCATAAAGAGCCACTTTGGTCTAGTGCAGGGGTCCCCAACCCCCGGTCCATGGACCGGTACCGGGCTGCAGCATGCCAGCAACCGGTCCGCACAAACAAGCAAAGCCCCATCCGTGGGATGCAGGCAGCACACAAAACCACGCACACTCCCGTCTGCAAAAAAAACCTTTCTCCATGGAACCGGTCCCTGATGCCCAAAAGGTTGGGGACCTCTTGTCTAGTGGTTAAAGCACCATGCTAGAAAGTAAGAGATCGTGAGTTCAAGTGTCACCTTAGCCATGAAAACCAGCCAGCTGATTTTAGGCTATTCATTCTCCTTCAGCCTAGCCTGTCTCAAAGGACCATCTTACCAGCTCTTTGCTCCTCAAATGGATGCTAAAAAAAAACTCAAAAGCAACCAGCCTCTTCATTGAGCTTGGAATTAGCTTGAATTAAAGCTTTGAGCTTGAAAAACGAGCAAGGAATAAAAGACAACTCAGAAAACTGAGCCAAGTAACATTTTAAGAGGTTATTGTTGTTCTTAGGTTTTATTCAGATATCCCCTTGGTCTTCCACTCCCTGGGATTTCTCCCTCTGGAGCCAGTGTGCGGTTACACCAAAAATGTAGGATTGTATTTTCAGACGGGCCTAGGACAACTCACTGCGAGACAATTCAGGGCTGTATTAATCATTTCATCCGGTACTTTTATTATTGGTGACCACGTTTTCATCTAAATTATTGTAGCTCTTTTATTTATGGATTGATTTTCTTTATTATCATTGGCCATGGGTCCGTCGAAATTAATTTAACTTTTGCATCTGCTGAATTGTCGCGCAGCGGGTTTGTCCCACGGTTGCAGTGCGTTGTCCCATCCCGTTTTCAGACATAATGCCATAATAGCACTGGTAGTTTTCTAAGTAGCTTTTTCAATATACGACTTTCCTGTGTTTGCTCCAGACGGGCCTGAGTGCCCCGTAATCAGCCCCCTACAACAGGTTTACCACGAGCATTCCACTCTCAACCTCTCCTGCTCTGCCATCTCTAATCCACCTGCAAACTTTTATTGGTATCTTAACGGGCAGCTTCTGGAACATCAGAACAATTCTCACCTGGTCCAGCGTCTTACTCTGAAGAGCGCTGGAAACTATACTTGTAAAGTTACCAATGTTGAAAGTGGACTTTCGAATGACACCGTACTGGAGATCAACGTTCGGGGTGAGTAGCTTGGATGGCCAAGCTTACTCAAATCTTTTGAAAGATTTGCTGTGGGTGATTTCTCTGGGTGTCTTTTTGGTGTGATTCTGTCTTGGCTTCCTGTCATCTTGAAACATCCTTTTCAGAGCTCTGCATGGATTTGATTTTGAACGTTCGTGCATTTTTGTTTGAGTTTTCCTATCATGGTACTCCATTCTGGGACCTTACCATGACTACTTCAACAGATTGTTCCTCTTTTGTTTTGATTCCTTTCCTTCTTCAATAACTATGATCTTTGGTAGACTAGATTCCATCTGATTCCTCTAAGGGCTGAACGTCATTCCAGCAGAAATGAGATCCTTACATGTTGTCCCTTCAACTTTTCACCATCAAAGCTTCTCCTTTATGGTCCCTGCAGTTCAGAAACGGGCTTATTTTGAGCCAGTTCTGATAAGTCAGTCAAACTGAGTTGTTTGTCTTGTGTTTTCCAATACTGTGACCTTGTATTTTCTTCCCTCGCAGTGTGAGAACCCCAATAGTTAAAACAGTTGTGCAATTTTTGTTAGTCTTTCTTCTTTTTCGTGTACTCTCTCTTTATCCCTGTTTTGTTTACATCTTTGGCACTGAATGGTTCCAACCGGCCAGTTTCTGGCTAGGAATTCAAGGCCATCCACTGATATTCACCCTGATTCTATAAGTGTTTTGATATTCTTTTCTTCCATTTATTTATCTGCCTCAAAGTTGCCTCATTTTTTGAGGTTTATCTCCACCAGTTTTCTCCTTGGTGGTTGTTGAATGTCTCAGAAGTGGTTCACGAACCCTTTATTGTTTTCCAGTGAAGCAACAGATAATATTGTTCCTGAAAACATAAACCTTATACTTCCTTTTTTTTTTTAATTGCTAAATTTTCAGTTGAACCTAATGTTGGCCTCGGTTTTTCCCAACTTCCCATTTTAGCCATCGTCCTCTATGGAACATTTGAGGTATTTTTGATAAAATCTTGCAGTCCAGGGTAAGACAATTGACACATATCAAAGTTCTCCCATCTTTTTTGCTCTGTAAACATGGCTTCGTATCTCACGGCTACAACCACCTGGTTGACCAACGTATCCTAAACGCATAGAGCCACCGAGCTGACTGCACAACCCCTTCTGGATGGAAATTCAAGATTAGATCTTGAAGTCCTGAATCAATCAACCACGGAGAAGAGGCCCCAGTTACGTCAGACGTTTGACTCAAATAACAATGACTTCCCCCTTTTTTTCTCTCTCTCTCTCCCTCCCCCACAGAGGCCATCAATCATATCTCCATCAGTGACCCTGGCAAGATTGTGGAGAATAGCACAACCTATCTCAGCTGTACAGCCTCAGGCTTTAATGTTTCCTATGTTTGGCTTAAGGGGAACCAGAAGCTGGAGGCTGGAGGCCACATTACTTTAAGCAGCGATGGTCAAAACCTTAGCTTGAGTCGGACAAGTCGCCAGGACTCGGGCGTCTACACTTGCCGTGCGATTAACAGTTTTTCTAACAACTCCGCCAACTACACTCTGAATGTCTTCTGTAAGTCTGCTTTTGCCATGGAGGGATTGTAGAGATTCAGAGATTTGGGGAAGGAGCTTCCCAGCAAGCTTGTATAAGAGTCTAACTTCTAAAAGGGGGGATGGATGAGTGACGTTGAACAGATCCATTCCGAGTGCTTTGAGTGCCTTCACTTGCTTCGGTCAATATTCTCCCTCTTGCTACACATACACACTCTAGAGCAAGGGTGTCAAACTCAAGTTCATTGAGGGCCACATCAGCATTGTGCTTGCCCTCAGGGGGCCGGGTGGGTGTGGCCAGGGTAGGTGCGGCCTACTGGGTGGGCATGGATGGAGTGGGTGTGGCCAGCTCTACATTGTTTGCGTCAAGGGTCCCTGTGGGGGCCTAGGCAGGAGTGGGACAGATCTGGGGGTCTCTGGCAGAAGGGGGTTGGACCGGGGCAAGTGCCAAGGCATGGTCCACTGGAGGAGCCTCACTGCTCCTCTCAGGCCATGCGGGGGGGGGGGGTTGGTGGTGCGGGCTGCCCGGAGCCCTGGGCAGCAGAGGTTAAATGCCCAGCCTGGCCCTTGAGTACCCACGGCACCAAGCCCAGCCCCACTTCCTCAAGGCTGCTGCTCAAGGTTCTCCTGGTTCCTCGCTGTTTCTGGACGGCCTTGTGGAGCTAAGACTGAATGCGTTTCAGCATAAATGGCCACCACAAAATTGTACATTGGCTCCCGGCCAGCCTGGGCCGGGACCAAGGCAGTGGGGGCCGTTCCCTCACTGTTTCCAGGATGGCTTCGCGGGCCACATGAAACCACTTTGCGGGCTGCATCCGGCCCCCAGGCTTTGTGTTTGACATGTCTGCTCTAGAGAGTCCTCAACTTACAACTGTTGGTCCAGTGACTGTTCAAACTTACAACGGCACTGAAAAATGTGATTTTTCCCCCCACCCTTTTTCATAGTTACGACCTTTGCAGCATCCCCATGATCATGGGATCAAAACTCAGATGCTTGGCAACTGACTCATGTTTATGACCCTTTCTGTGTCCTACGGTCATCTGACTCCCCCTTTGCGAGCTTCTGACAAGCAAAGTCAATGGGGAAGCCAGATTCACTTAACCAGGTTACTAATTTATCAACTGCAGTGATTCACTTAGCATCTGAGGCAAGAAAGGTCGTAAAGTGGGGCAAAATTTGCTTAACAAATGTCTCACTTAACAACAGAGACTTTGGGCTCAGCTGTGGTCATAAGTCAAGGACTACCTGTGCTAAGGTGTACTGCGCAGCCTGTAGAACAGTACTTGGCTGTGGTCAAGGAAACAAAGTTGGATTGATCCGATCGTAACATTTGGTAGTTAAAACAAACCAGGATGAGCAGGATATTTAGTACAGAGTGGAAATAATAATTCCTGGTGAGCCTCTGTGGGGAGATGACAATTGTCAGGACATGTAACCAGGAACAGGAGCTGAGTTCAACGCCCTTCGAGTTTATTACATGCTACTTATACACAGGAATCTGATCTACTAATGTTCAAAGCAAATAACTTGTGGGAGCGTAAAGATTCCAAAGTAATGATGCATTTGACCCCACCTTCAAGTTTTGCCTGGTCCTCTCCTACAGCCATATAGAGAATAACATGTTCCATCAATTATTTCTCCACCGCACAGACACCGTCTCTGTTCAAAGGGGATTTTTTTTTGTTTCTTCCTTTAAGTAGACATGTCAATTGATGAAATTTGAGTCCTTGTTGTAAGCAAGCCACATTTTACAACATTGTGAGGAAGTCTGTACTCCTTTTGTAACTTCCTGAATACTACGACTCCTTGCTACATGAAACGGGTAGCTACCTTGCCAAAATATTATTTTAGGGGGGGGGAAACCCCTCATTTCTTCTTGTTTTACACCAGTCTCTTCTCCAAACCGCTGCTTACAAACCGCACCCAAAGAACCAGAAGAAGTAATTGTTTCTTTTGCATATTTAAAGGGCAGTTTCATTTTCCAGTTTCTTCAATGGCCCACCTGGGCTTATTATTCTCGAAACGCAGTTTAAGGCTTTGGTGGGGGGGGAGGTGTTGGCTTACAAGGCCATCTGTAACTTGAGAAAGTAACACCAGGCTGATGAAACTAGCATGACGTAAAATGGGGATTGGACCCCACACACACACACACCCTTCTAGCTAGCTAGCTGGCCTAGCTGTCCATGTTAGTTTCACTGTTTTGCTTCTCTCTCTGGCCAGGGTGTATCCCAAGGGGGGGTCCCTAGGCACCCTGAGAATGTTAAACTATGTAAATTAGTCGGCCCCAAAGATGAATGATAAAAAAGTCAAATTAGATTTCTTCTACCTTCTTTCCTTTTCTTGGTAAAAAGAATTTGGGCTCCTGAACTCTTAGTAGGCATGAAGCTGAGATAAATGGATAATGGGGCCTCCTCTAAGGCTGCCGGAAGATTGCAGATAGTCCTCGACTTACGACGATTTGTTTAGCAACCGTGCGAAGTTGCAAGAGCACTGGGGGAAAAAGCGATCGGTCCTCGCAGTTAGAATCGTCACAACATCCCCACAGTTGAGGGGTGCTTGGCCACTGGCATGTATGAACAATAGCCGTAGCATCCTGGGATCACAAATGTTTGCCATTTGCGACCACCCAAGCCAGCTTCTGAAAAATGAAGTCAATGGGGAAGCTGGTTTCGCTTAGTGACTGCACGATGCACTTAACAACTGCGGTTGATTTGCTTGACAACTATGGCGAAAAATGTGGCAAAATCGAATGTGACTCATTTAACCACCACAAATGGAAATACCGGTCCGAGTGGTGTTCGTAAGTTGAGGACTACTTGCCTTTAGGCTGCCGAACTAAATAGCTCCTGGATATGAAGGACAAACTCAATTTTGGAGGGCAGCTCCTCCCTATATAACGGGGATCTCCAACCTTGGTAACTTTAGGACTTGTGGACTTCAACTCCCAGAATTCCTCAGCCAGCCATGCTGGCTGAGGAATTCTGGGAGTTGAAGTCCACAAGTCCTAAAGTTGCCATGGTTGGAGAGCCCTGCTATATTATCACATGAATAACTCTGTGGCCCCACACCAAAGACACAGGCATGCGTCGTTCCAGCTCATAGTTTTTTGACCGAATGTGGCTTCTGAACACCCTCCTCCCCAAGTTCTCTGGCCTTCCTCAACCTGTAACTCTCCTATATTTGCTCCAGATGGGCCTGATGCCCCAGTCATCAGCCCCAGTGGGCAGTTTTATGCAGAAGGCTCCAATCTCACCCTCTCCTGTCAAGCTGACTCCAACCCACCTGCCAACTATACATGGTCCTTCAAGAACGCTACACATTCAGGGGGGATCTATCGGCTCTTTCGTTTGTCTTCCGCCAACAATGGGACCTATACATGTGAGGCCTCCAACAACGAAGCCAAACTCTCCCAGTCTAAAGCCCAGCCTGTCTGTGTCCTGGGTGAGTATATTCATGGTTGTATGGACTTCTGGTCTCCATAAATGAGTTCTGTTAAGTGGGGGTGATCTTTCCGAGGCTAGCAATTTATACACCTGTCTCATCTCCTATCTCCGTGGGACTTGTCTGGAATCATACAAACCCAGTGTCAAATCTGACTCGACTCCATACCGGTAGTAGCCTGTACCTTGCTTTCGCTTGAAACATTGATGGGAGGAGGGTGGTGATTTCCTAAAGGTGGAGGAGGCTATGGAATGCAAGCGAGCCGTCTGTTGCTGGAGAGATGTTATCTAACAAGGCCGAGTGAGGAAGAATGTTTTGATCAAAGCGGGCAGCTTTTCCCAAAGCAAAAGAACTAAACTCGATGGGTGAACACTGAACTCTGGGTGGCCCGGAGGGAAAAGGGAGTTACCTATGTGGATTTTCACGGGGAAAATCCCAGAACTGATGGATTTTTCAATAAAGCTACACTCTTGGTTAACCCAAAGAGCCGGGAATTTCTTTCGTTGAATGTGCCAAATGGGACGGTTGACACCCAGTCCCCGAACATCTCTTTTTCGCCTTCCGTTCTATTTATTGTACATGTTTGGGTATTCTTGTCTCCTTGACAGCTTCTTCTCCTTCACCTACGACTCTTTTGGGTATGTTGACAGGGGTTCTGTCCCCAAACGATCCCACGTGACTGGGCTGGATTTAAATCGTTTGCCTTGCAACGGAATCTTCAAAAGTCAAAAGTCCTGGAGAATTTTTTTTCATTTCCCCTCCCCCCCACAAAATCTCATTGTTTTAGCCAACTCCTCGTATGGTTTCTGTTCGTGACTGTTTTTCCTAAGATACCTTCTTGTGTCCTGTAACTGGATTTCAGTTTTGATGCAACTGTTTACTGTTTCCTTCCAAGGTTTGACAGTTTACCGCCTTTCGCTGTCGTTCTTAAGATGATAATTGTGGAATTTGTACGATGGACATTAGAAATTCACTTGTCTCCTGTCGCTTCAAACTTCTCCAGTATTGTTGCCTTTCTTCATTCTGAATTGTCTGTGTATACCGTGTTGTAATTTCTCTCTCTTTTTTGTGGGTCCTTTTGGTCATCCTTAAACCATGTTGAGGGTGTTTAAAAAACCATTCATGTGGTGGTGTCTTCTTCCTTTTCCCACACTGTTCATTTCTCTGATGGAGAAAATGTCTAATTTTGTCATTGCGATTGCCCAACATTATTTTATTGCAAACTCCCATAACATTAGAAAGACAGTCATTAGGACCGAGTCCTGCTAATCACTTCATCTTTAGAAAGTTTTATCTGTAATAAATAGAATAATTCTGAAGGTTGCGTCAGACGATTTTTTTTCTATTAGTCTTAGTTCTGAAAAGTACCGTATATACTCGAGTATAAGTCGACCCGAGTATAAGCCGAGGGACCGATTTTCCCACAGAGAACTGGGAAAAATTGGTGACCCGCGCATAAGCCGAGGGGGCATTTTGGCTGTTCCTCCCTGGCCGCCGCCCCACCCCCGCCGCNAAGCAAAAGAACTAAACTCGATGGGTGAACACTGAACTCTGGGTGGCCCGGAGGGAAAAGGGAGTTACCTATGTGGATTTTCACGGGGAAAATCCCAGAACTGATGGATTTTTCAATAAAGCTACACTCTTGGTTAACCCAAAGAGCCGGGAATTTCTTTCGTTGAATGTGCCAAATGGGACGGTTGACACCCAGTCCCTGAACATCTCTTTTTCGCCTTCTGTTCTATTTATTGTACATGTTTGGGTATTCTTGTCTCCTTGACAGCTTCTTCTCCTTCACCTACGACTCTTTTGGGTATGTTGACAGGGGTTCTGTCCCCAAACGATCCCACGTGACTGGGCTGGATTTAAATCATTTGCCTTGCAACGGAATCTTCAAAAGTCAAAAGTCCTGGAGAATTTTTTTTCATTTCCCCTCCCCCCCACGGAATCTCATTGTTTTAGCCAACTCCTCGTATGGTTTCTGTTCGTGACTGTTTTTCCTAAGATACCTTCTTGTGTCCTGTAACTGGATTTTAGTTTTGATGCAACCGTTTACTGTTTCCTTCCAAGGTTTGACAGTTTACCGCCTTTCGCTGTCGTTCTTAAGATGATAATTGTGGAATTTGTACGATGGACATTAGAAATTCACTTGTCTCCTGTCGCTTCAAACTTCTCCAGTATTGTTGCCTTTCTTCATTCTGAATTGTCAGTGTATACCGTGTTGTAATTTCTCTCTCTTTTGTGTGTGTCCTTTTGGTCATCCTTAAACCATATTGAGGGAGTTTAAAAGACCATTCATGTGGTGGTGTCTTCTTCCTTTTCCCACACTGTTCATTTCTCTGATGGAGAAAATGTCTAATTTTGTCATTGCGATTGCCCAACATTATTTTTTATTGCAAACTCCCATAACATTAGAAAGACAGTCATTAGGACCGAGTCCTGCTCATCACTTCATCTTTAGAAAGTTTTATCTGTAATAAATAGAACAATTCTGAAGGTTGCGTCAGACGATTTTTTTTCTATTAGTCTTAGTTCTGAAAAGTACTCAAAAGAATGAATAAAGGTAAGATGCTGTTCCAAAAAGACACGCATATGAATTTGTTTTTATCCATTTCAAAATTACTGTCGTAGGGTAATAACTTCACATTAATAGTCAACCTATTCTCCAAACACCTGGAGGCAGGACAAGAAACAATGGATGGAAACTAATCAAGGAGAGAAGCAACCAGGAACTAAGGAGAAATTTCCTGACAGTGAGAACAATTAGTAGAACAACTTCCGTCCAGAAGTTGTGGGTGCTCCATCACTGGAGGTTTTGAAGAAGAGATTGGACAACCATTTGTCTGAAATGATATAGAGTTTCCTGCCTGAGCAGGGGGTTGGACTAGAAGACCTCCAAGGTCCCTTCCAACTCTATTATTCTGTTAAATTCTGATTAGCTGGTAGATGTTCCACCCTATGAATTCCCATCCAGAAGGAACATTACCAGACATGGCTAGAAATATGGAATTGGACAAAAATAATAAAAGAGGCCTCCAGATCAGGCAGTTGGATCCTAGGTCTATGCGTCCCTGAAAAATTTCAGACAGTAGAAGTAGAGAAGGGCCTGACTAAAAACGTGCAAAGTGATTACAATTTTTTTTAACCAAGCAAAACCCCAAAATAAGATATGGAGTTGCTATTTCAAGAGAAGATATTGGAGCTCAAATGCTAGGCTGCTTTGGAACAGAGATGGAAGGTGATAGAGCTGTCGGAAAAATAGAGAGGAAACAATCAGTCAGTCCCACCTTTGATATTTGCATGAGGAAGCAATTTCGGCCACCAGATTCCTTTGTGAAACAACAGTTTAGCCGTCAACTGGGTCAGCTTATTTGGTTGCTTCATCTTCTATTTTGTCTCCTGCAAAGTTTGGATCCTGAAGAATTTTTTTACATGAGGCCGTAAGTTTCCTGCTGAAATTTTCTACCTGTACAGGTGTGAATTTCTTCAGGATAACCTGACAGAAAATGAGATAAATAAATAATGTAGTCCAATTTAAAAATATCAAATTGATAAAAGAAAATACTGGCTAAGGAACTAAGGAACTACCTGTATAGGTGTGAATTTCTTCAGGATAACCTGACAGAAAATGAGATAAATAAATAATGTAGTCCGATTTAAAAATATCAAATTGATAAAAGAAAACACTGGCTAAGGAACTAAGCTTTTGGAGTTGAATTTTTTTGTGTGTGGGATTCCAATCATTTAGGAAGTCTACTGGGCCGTTTACGCCAATCTATCTGGACTTCTTCTCTTACAAAAGCTTTAAAAGCGTAAGAGTTATGGATCTGTAATTCTTATACACATCTGAAAGAATTGTACAGCTAACCCTCGACTTACAACAAATTTATTTAGTGACCGTTCAAAGCTAAAACGGCCCTGAAAAAAATGACTTATGCCCATTTTTCACACGGCCATTGCAGCATCTCCAGGTCACATGATCAAAATTCCGACGCTTGGCCACCGACTCACATTTATGACGGTCGCCTTGTCCCGGGGGGGGCACGTGATCCCCTTTTGCGACCTTCTGTCAAGCAAAGTCAATGGGGAAGCCAGATTACCAACCTAACCACTGCAGTGATTCGCTTAACAACTGTGGCAGCGAAGGTCGTAAAATGGGGCGAAATGCACTTAACAAGCGTCTCACTCAGCAAGAGAAAAATTGGGCTCGGTTGTGGTCATAAGTCAAGGATTATCTGTCTAAAATTTAGAGGAATTGGAGAGACGTGGATCAGGACGAAAACGTGGGTGGGAAGCAGAGGTTGGCGGAGAATTCAGATTGCCCCAAAGGGAGAGAGTTAAAAGCTGATATTCTGCAGAGCCCTGATAATAAAACAATTTGTACAAGCACCTCCAGCAGCCTAAAAGAACGGCCCTTGTGGCTAGTTGCCAAGGTAATGGACCACAGGATCTAAGTGGTCCAAGAAACATATTTTTTACCTGCTGTCCACCGCCAGATTCTGGTTCCCACCAGCCTTTGGGAGGTTTTCACCAGACCGATCTATGTGTGATGCTTTCTATTGTCCCTGCTGATCTTCTAACGTGCCTTCTAGGACTTTGTGAGGTGGCTTCTTGGCAAGAGAAGCTAAACAGCAAATTAGGCCAAAAGGGAAGAAGCTAATGAAAGCGGTGATCTGCAAAAGTTAATTTCTCCAGGGGTTTGGGTGCTCTCTTTCTTTCCTGGAATTTATAAACGGTTTCTTTGCTTTGAGGTTGATCTGCTCCAGTCGTTCATCAGTGCCTCACACTATCCCAGTGTCCTAAAATGAAAAAAAGACATAACACACCAGCAAAATAAGGCATCCTAAATAATATTGTAGCCAACGCTGCAATTTATTATTATTATTTTGCTTTCTTGGGTGGTTTTTTTTTTTCCCCCTTCTTCATTGGACTCCTGAAATTTAATTACTGAAATATGGCATAGCGCGATGGTTTCTGCAGCCACCTGGGAGCATCCTGGCTAATGCAGACATGTCTGGATGGAAGCCACTGTGTTTAATTGCCCTCCTTTTTAAAAATTTTCGACTGATATTATGCCCTTTTACATTGGCAGCAGTCCACGTTGGCAATACACTGTACTGATCGTAGGAACCAGCTCATGGAAAATACTCTGATGCCAAAATTGTTATTTTAAAAAAATGAGGCACTAAAAGTATAGCTGCTGTTTGAAGAAAAAAAAAATACCTGGATGTGTTTTCCGTGCAGGGAAATTCTGTAAAAAGAGGATTCCCTCCCTCCCCTTGTAAATAGTACCCGTGGCCTGTTATGTATTGCTTTTCTTTCTCTCATTCTTTCTTTCTTTTACGATTGTTTTGAATCTGTTCAGCTCTTCGAGAAAACAAGAGCCACGTAATTATTATTTATGTCTTCCATTGTCTCCTCCCAGTTGCAAAATAGTCTCTGGATCGTTTTTTTTTCTAAACAAATGAAACATCCAGCAAAAGTTAGATAGCAGGACATGGGCAAAGAGAATAAACTAGATTTTTTTTAAAAAAAAAAAAAGCTTTCTTTTAGATTTTTAAAATTCTCAATAAAATGTGCAGCCTGAACTCTTAAGACTGAAAAGGGGCAAAAGGCCAGTAGCAGAGAGCTCATTTAACAACCGCTTAGCTTAGCAACAGAAATTCTGGTCCCAATTGTTGGACGTAAATCGAGGACTGTGTGCAAAGCCCAGTGGAGTGGTTGGGTCTGCCAAATCAATAGATGGGAGGTTGTGTTGTTGCATGGCCAGCTTCACTGGGCATTCACAATGATGCATTTTAAGCTGCAGCTCACTATTTTCTGAAGAAGACTAGCGAGAAATACAGATAGTCCTCGGCTTACAACCGTTCATTTAGTGACCGTTCAAAGTCACAACGGCCCTGAAAAAAGCAACTTATGGCCGTTTTGCACACTTATGATCGTTACGGGATCCCCACGGTCACAAGATCAAAATTCAGACGCATGGCGAATGACTCGTATTTATGACCGTCCCAGGATCCTTGGGATCGAGTGATCCCCTTTTTGTAACCTTCTGGCGAACCAATTTAAAGGGGAAGGCAGATTCCCTTAACAAGTGCGGCAAATTCGCTTTCGTTCAGCACGGCGAGAAAGGTTGTCAGATGGGGCAAGGCTCACTTCACAAGTGTCTCACTTAGCAACCGAAATTTTGGGCTCAGCTGTCGTAAGTCGAGGACTACCTGAAAAGCTGAGAGGTAAACTGGTTTTTTTTTAAATGTAGCCTTTCGGATTGACGGGGAGGGGGGAGGTGTCTTGCAACTGCCAGCAGCAGCCATTTTGTGACAGCTCTTCCAGTAGCTGTCCAAATCCCAAAGGGGGTTGCCTAACACACACACACACACACACACAACACACACACACACACACACGTTTTTGACCTGCTGCCACCCTCTGGATGCCTGTGGCCAATGAAGCAGGTTCAGAGAACGAGAGGTTCTGCAAGGCTGGGGGCCAGCGGGACCCCCAAGAATGGCGCTCCTCCGTGTCCTGTTTCACGTTAAAATAATTTTTTTTTAAAAAAATGTCCAGCATCCTTCCTCAATCCTTGGCTCTCCTCGCCCTTATCAAGAAAAGGAACCAGGCTCCTTGTAACTACTATAAGAGAATGCCCATCCCGTTCGGTTGAAGTGAAGGAAAGAAACCATTATAATCCCGTTTTCTGAAAGCTCGTGCTTAATGATTCCACTTCATTGTCAGTTTCAAAGCGGGCAGCAGGAATTATCCTCAACCCAACCCAACCCAACCCAACCTGGCGTACGGCTTGCTCGTTCTGTAGAAGCGGACCCAAATCTAGGATTCTTGTAGGAACGTCTTAGCAGAACGTTGTTGGTGCTCACCATCTCCCCGACGTGGTCCGTCAGCCATGTTGACTTGGAGGGGGGGTAAAGTAACCCACCCATCTTTTGTGGCCCCTGAGTCTTTTGTAAGCTTCTCCAAAGAGAGCTCTCAAAACGTCCCAACTCTTGACGATCCTAGATGGTGACCTTGCCGGATAGCCAAGTATCGGAAGGCGTAAGTACCCCCCCTAGAATCCTAGATGACCCTTGTTGTGTTTTGTGTGCAGAAAACCTCTCAAAGCCAATCCTGTCGCCTTCGCAATCTCTTGTGGCTGAGAATGAACGTATCACGCTGAACTGTACAACCTCCAGCAGCTCCACAGTCAACGTCACCTGGTCCAAGGACAGTAAACCTTTACGGAGCAATGTAGAATTTGACCATGAAAACCGAACCCTCACACTGGTTAAATTCCAACAATCAGATGCAGGGAGCTATACTTGTACGGCCCGGAATCTTTTCAGCACCGTCCAAAGCAACCCCAGTATACTTACACTGGCATGTAAGTAATCTCCCCTTTGACGGGGCCTTTCTTCCTGCTTTGTGGTGGACATATGGCCACCAGAGTTTTCTTACCCATCTCCAAAATGAAAAATATTGGGATCCTTAGTTGTAGAAGGAGAGGAGCCCTCTTCCTCCAAATCCTCTTGGAAGACAACGGAAGAAGACCTTGCAAGGAGAGAAGGACCTCTGCAGAGACTTGAGGCAACCTTCTGGGGTCCTGAGATGGAGCCCCACCACCAAAGCTCATGCTTGGAACCGAACCCTGGCTCGTGATAAGCCCCTTTTCTGACCCCAGGGGGGCCCTAATAATCTGACTGATTTGTGGGGTGGGGGTACGTTCCCCCTGCTTACCAGCTGGGCCTCCTTCTCTTCCACCCACCCTTTGCCCTGATTCTACCTCCTTTCCTTTCTAGACGGGCCCACGTCTGCTCAGCTGAACCAGTCAGGAACCATAGAGCAGCGCCTGGGTTCCGAATTGGTTCTTCTCTGTTCTGCGGAATCTGTGCCTCCGGCGACGTTTGAGTGGTTCTTCAATAACACGGTCAAGAATGGGACGGAGGACACTCTCAATGTCCACTTGAAGGACTGGGAAGATGAAGGCAATTACACCTGCCAGGCTAGGAACCCCTTCACCAGCCATACTACTTCGACCTCTGTCTATGTGAAATTGACAGGTGAGAAGTCCCAATTTCTTGGAATTGACCACCCGTCCATGGTCCTTTCTGGTTCCTCCCCATTTGTGACTCATCCGAGTTTCCTCTTGGGTCAGATGATTTGGGGCTGGAGGCTATCCCGAAAAGGATAGTATAACAAGCCTGATGCCAAGGGGAGGTGTGGATCCTGGTTTTTATTCCGTATCGTTCCAGATTACACTAGAGTGAACTGAGCACAGTACAAACATCTGCAAGAACCGATCCTTTGGTGTGGAGTGCAGGGCGCAGCAAAGAAAATCCGTTAATAAAATGTGTTTATAGTCTGAAGATGGGAGCCACACGTTTCTGTATGGTCTACGTCAGGGGTAGTCAACCTTGGCTCTTTTATGACTCGTGGACTTCAACTCCCAGAATTCCTGAGCCAGCCATGCTGAGGGGAAAGGGAGAGGTTTCCATGCTGAGCCATGTTGGCCCAGGAATTCTGGGAATTGAAGTCCACGAGTCATGAAAGAGCCAAGGTTGACTACCCCTGGTCTACGTTAATATTTTTCAACCTGGGCCACTTTAAGCTTTGGGGACTTCCAACTCCCAGAATTCTCCAGCCAGCCATGATGGCTGGAGAATTCTGGGAGTTAAAGTGTGCACAGCTTAAAGGTTGAGAAACACTGGTCTAGATTTAAGAGCAGGTTTTAGGATGGAATTAATTTTATATTGGTATGACATGCTTTTTATATTTTGCTTTATTTGTTCCTCAATCTTTCCCCTCCTTTAAGCTCAGCATGTTTGAATTGCTGCAATGTATTGTAAGAGGAGAGTCAGGAGAGTCTCTGGTGCTAAAAAAAAATAAATCTGGAAGAATTGGGTGGGGCCTTTTCCATCTAACAATTTTCAATCCAGTAAAAAGGCAGGAAGACTTTAAAAAATGATATAGTTTTTTTTAAATATATATATATATATATTAATTGGAAATGGTGCTAGCAAGCCCCTCCTGTAATGTATGTGGTTTCTTTATTGCGGTTCTATTTTTTTAATTGATTTATTATTGATGCATTATTTTTTTATTGCGGTTCTATTGATGCATTATTTTTGTTCCTTACACTTCACTTCATGGCACTGCATTCACGCTTTGCCCTTCAGACTTTCCCAGTGGACAAGAAACCGCATTTGGGGGATAAGCAGAGAGCACAAATATTCAGCGCCCTGATAGGAAAAATTGTCGGAAATTCCAGATGCAGCAATGGAACAAAACAGTGGGAGAGCTAAGCATTTTTCATTTCTCTTTGCCAACCTCGGCAGGCTAGTTAAAGTAAAGAAGAACAGATAAGAAAAGCTAAGTAAATAACAGGTAGTTTTTGACTCACAAGGCTGCTGTGTCATCCCACACACCTTGCAACATAGAAAAAAACTAACCTTCTAATTCTCTGCGGGGCGTTGGGAGTATCAATCGAAGCCTTTATCTTTGCCGCTGAATAAAATATTTGAGCCACTTTCTCCCAAAATAGGTTTTTGTGCCATGGATTACTAATGTTTTGGACTGGAGTGTACATAGGTGGTTTGTGGTGTGTTTGTCACGGAGAATGTTGGTTGAGAAGGTATTAGAAAAGTGCCTTTTGTGTATAATACCTCCTATATTGCATACGTATTTGGTGAGTTGGTCAACCTTGCCGTGCCTTTGAGAATTGGGCTATCAGGAACCACAGTGGTGGTAGTGGTAGAGGGGATAGAATCATAGAATCCTAGGGCTTGAAAGGATCTTGGAGGTCTTCTAGTCCAGGGCTTTCCAACCAGTGGTAAGGGTACCACTTGTGGTACATTGGCACCTGGCAGGTGGTACGCGACTGTCCTAGAAAAGTGGTAGCGGGGGAGGAGAATGAGCTGAACCGGTGGCAGCACCGCACAAGCCTGAGCGAGAGATGGCTGGAGCTGCAGGGCTGTCAGGGCTCAGCGGAAGCGCCAGGATCAGCACCAGGCTCCAGCTGGAGCTCGGCACTGATCCTGGTGCTTCTGCTGAGCCCAGAAGAAGCGCCGATCAGCTGGAATGTTGCAGCATCTCCAGGGTCTTGTGATTTACATTCAGATGCTTGGCAACTGATTCATATTTATGACGGTCACAGTGTCCCAGGGTCAGCATAGGTGGCACCTTGCTCAATAGTAGTAACTGTGAGAGGGACCTTGGAGTCCTTGTGGACAATCACCTAAATAGGAGCCAGCAGTGTGCTGCAGCTGCCAAAAAGGCCAATACGGGGCTAGGCTGCATTAACAGAGGGATAGAATCAAGATCACGTGAAGTGTTAATACCACTTTACAAGGGCTTGGTAAGGCCACACTTGGAATACTGCATCCAGTTTTGGTCACCGTGATGTAAAAAAGATGTTGAGACTCTAGAAAGAGTACAGAGAAGAGCAACAAAGATGATCAGGGGACTGGAGGCTAAAGCATATAAGGAACGGTTGCAGGAATTGGGTATGTCTAGTTTAACGAAGAGAAGGACGAGGGGGGACAGGATAGCAGTGTTCCAATATCTCAGGGGCTGCCCCAAAGAAGAGGGAGTCAAGCTATTCTCCAAAGCGCCTGAAGGCAGGACAAGAAGCAACGGGTGGAAACTAATCAAGGAGAGAAGCAACCTAGAACTAAGGAGAAACTTCCTGACAGTGAGAACAATTAACCAGTGGAACAACCTGCCTCTAGAAGGGGTAAATGCTCCAACACTGGAAGTTTTTAAAAAGAAACAGGACAACCATTTGTCCGAAATGGTATAGGGTTTCCTGCCTGAGCAGGGGGTTGGACTAGATGACCTTCAAGGTCCCTTCCAACTTTATTTTACTACTATTATTACTTGGTAGGCAATTTTGGGCCATTTCCTCTCTTAGCCAAACCTCCTTCACAAGACTGTGGTTGTGGGGATAATGTTAAAAGAGACTAGACAACCCACAACCTGCTGTTTATCCTTTCAGAGACATTTCTTCGCCAGGTTCCTCAAAATCTTCAACTGCGACAGAACTTTTGATGGGCATCCTTCACTGGAAAAGTTGTGATACGTTCAAAGATGTATTTGCCTGGAAAAGAGCTCACGTTGAATTGTATAGCACAGACACGCATCCGCCCAGGAAAGGTTTTATGACGTTATTACGGGTCAGGCGTGAAAGACCAGATCCATATTGGAAGGCCCAATTAAACTGAAGTTTTGCTAAAGAAGCTTATACACAGGAATATTCTTAATATTAGGTAGGGGGGAAAGGAATTCAAGAGAGATTGAATTAGTCCATCTGTTGCTGCGTAGAGATGTCTAAGCTGATTCCTCGCTTGACTCCAGCCCTTGATTCTGCCACTCCTTCTACATTTAGTCATAAATTGTTTGGCGATCATTTTACATTATGAAATATAAGTTTTAATACCATGGGAATCATGGGTTCCAGATTTGGGATGCATTCTGTAAGTTAGTTTATTGAAGGTAGCTTGGTTCAAAATGTTTTGTCCTGTGATGCACCATTTTGCCCAGTTAAAGGTTACAGGAAAGAGAGTTTTAGTAGTATATGGATATACTACTATACTAGTATAGTATAGTAAATACTATACTACTAGTAGTATATGGATATACAAATGCTTTTTCACTTGCACCATGGAAATCTTTATTGTGTTGTTTTAGCACTACCAATTGATAAGAACTTGAGAATCTAGCATGACAGTAAACTTTTATATAAGGTAGTTATGGAATTCCTTCTCCTCCTTCTCCTTACCAAAATGTTCATTGGGATTGTTTTGAGCGAGTATGGCAAAAACTATCATTCTCACATTATCTCCTGCAGTGTCACAACTTGTGTGCCAGTGTTCAGAAGCTAATTCAGGTGTGGAAAGTGGAGGTGACAAGCTGTTTTGGGTACATGGGGTTGTATCAGCATCCAAAGCTTTTGGTATTATCCTTTCTTATCCTTTTGATAGGATCCTCTCCCAATCTTGGTCAGAATTCCAGTGCCAGCATGGCCACTGATAGGAATTCTGGCCGTTGAAGTCCATACTCCTAAAAATGGCCAGCTTGGGAAACACTGTAGAGTACTAGAGAAATGTCTGTTCTTCAGATGGCTCTTCAAGATGTCAGCTCCACTGAGATTTTGCTGACAGTGAGAACAACTAACCAGTGGAACGACTTGCCTCCAGAAGTTGTAGGTGCTCCATCACTGGAGGTTTTTAAGAAGAGATTGGACAACCATTCATCTGAAATGGTCTAGGGTCTCCTGCTTGAGCAGGGGGTTAGATTTGAGGGCCTCCAAGGTCCCTTCCAACTCTGTCATTGTGCTAAACTCCCAGTTCCACATTCAGAAGATACCAGGCATAGAGTAGGACTTCCACTGAAATCTACCTGCCCTTCCCCCATTGATTTATTCAACAAAATCAAGAGGTCCATGGCTATGTGCTATCCAACCTTCACATGTCTTCTCTGACAGGAGAGAGTTCGATACAGTCCCGTATGTCTCCTGGAGCCATTGCTGGGGCGACGATTGGTTCTGTGGCCGGAGTGTTGCTTTGTGTGGTCGTTGTGTACTTCCTGTGTACCAAGGTTTCCTGTTGGTAAGTCTCCCACCGAATCGGCGTTCCCAGTTGGGTGCCTCATTTTCTTGACTTTCTCTAGGTCCTTCCTGCTCTGGGTACCTGGTTTCCTTTGACTTTGCACTTGCACTTTAAGGGGCTGTTGGCACCGTTCTCCCCAACGGTTGTGTTCTTTCCTCTCTCTTCACCTTGGATCAGAATCTATCCTGGTACAATCTTTTGGCAGCTCTTAAGGGGCCAATTGGCAGGCACACCAGCTCTAACCAGGCTTACTAGATTCAAAATGGGATCCACTAAGGAACAGAGCAGGTATCCACATCCCAGTATCCCTGTAGATGTGGGATTAGATTCAGTGCCCATTGCTGAATCTAATAATTCTGATAGACTGGAGCACAATGGGCAGAAGAGCAAATTAACCTCAGCTGGACACATCAATCTTTCAATTTCCGAGGCCTTCCAGGTACGTGAGCTATAATCCCCATGGATGAGCCAACAGGTGTGCTGGCTGGGGATACTGGGAGTTATAGTCCCAGTTCATCTTTGGGAAAGACTGAAGTTAATGTCTTAACTATTAGAAGACGTTAAGACATTGGATTTGGGGGGGAGGGCAGTTTGCATCGTAGTTTATCAATCATTTTGATTATATTATTTGTAATTATAATATTTGAAAGATCCTAACTGGGGAGGAAAGGGTTGAAGGTCAAATTAAAAAGGGTCGAAGGTCGTTTAGTGACCGTTCAAAGTTACACCGGCACTGAAAAAAGTGACTTATGACCATTTTTCACACTTATGGCCGTTGCAGCATCCCTGTGATCACGTGATCAAAATTCAGACACTTGGCAACTGAAATCATACTTATGACGGTTGCAGTGTCCCAGGGTCACCTGATCCAGGGTTGAATTTCTAAGAATGGGGGAGTTAGTAGTGCAAGACCCCAAAGAATTCGCTGGCTGTTGTCGGGAAACGGATCCCTTCTTCATTTGGAGGTCACACGTGTCTGCTATTTATTTAGGAAAACGGAACAGCACACGTCCAATGGAAACATACCCTCAGCACCCGGCCACAGTAAGTATCAGCCCTTGGGCTGGGCCGGACCTGTGTGATGCATGCCTGTATTTGTGATACGGTCTCCCTCACTACTAACACACTGCCTCGCGGTTTAGGGGAGCCTCTCGAAAGCTGGAGAAAAGGTGGAGGAGATTTTCTGCACTCTTTAGAGCATTGTTACTCAACCTTAGCCATTTTAAGGTGTGTGGACTTCAACTCCCAGAATTCCCCAGCCACCCAGGCTGGCTGGGGAATTCTGGGCGTTGACGTCCACACACCTTAAAATGGCTAAGGTTGAGAAACAATGCTCTAGACCCAGAGAATATCCGTCCGCAGCTGAAATGCATTCTGGGAAATCCTTGCATGACTGGGTCATTCTGGGAGTTGGAGTCCATGCCTCTTAAAACGTCAGTGGTTGAGAAACACTGCTTGTAGAGTCAGAGCGTAGGAGAGCAGGTGTCTCCATCCACAGACCAAATGCATCCTGGGAAATTCCTGCATGCTCTTGGGAGGACCTTTTCCTAGCTGCTCTGCCTCCTGTTTCTAACGGCCCCCTTGGAGAATCTTCCCTGACCTTGTTCTTGGTTCCTGGGGGGAAAAAAGGAAGCTCCTGCTTTTGTTGGGATTCATCTCTCTTCTTCTCCCATTGTTCTGTGATTCTCCATCTTCTCTCACACACACCCCTCCCAAAGCCTGAATCATCTGGGATTTCTGCTGTTATACTACATGACAGTTTTAATGGGGGGGGGGAACTCCACAGCTCACCAGAGGTGGTGAGATTGGGCAGGAGGGTCATTTGGAGAAGTGGTCCTTCATGTCTGTGGAGCTTCTGCTACATGGGTACAAGCATGAAGAACGCATGTGGGGGAAGCTGTTGACCTCCCAGTACTTTGTCCACCCCCGCATTGGCTTGAATGCTCTGGAGCTTGACTCAGGTAGGAAGGGAAGGTAGGTGGGTTGAACAATGGGAGACGCGAGAAAGTTCCATCCTAGAAGTCTCCAGTCCCTTTTATCAAGCCAACGATGGTCTTCCATGGATCTGGACATTCCCCAAGTTCTTTTAAGAGTTTCATACGGAAGTAACATTCAACATAAGCCTAGCTAAATGTCTATGGAGATTCTCAGTCCTCCAGGTCGTGGTTGTCCCATAGGTGTTTTTCCAAGAGGCAACTGGACTTTCTTGGAAGACTTGGAAGAATTCCCCACCATCCAGTCAGAGCTGGAGAGGCTTCTTGGATGAGAAGCGAAAGGTCTTCAAAGAAAAACAAGGAAGTCCAATTGTCTCTTACAATAGCACCTTTGGGACAATTCAACACAAGCGAATCTCTCCGTAGCTCAGGGTTGAAATATGGACTTATGGACTGCTTGATGCTCTCTGAGCTTGGTGGTCTTCTTGTTTCATGACCCAACTCCACACACAAACCACCAAGCTTAGAGAGCACCAAGAACTCCACCAGAAGAGACTTGAGCCATCTTGGTTCTTCCTTCCCTGGCCTTTAGTTGGACATAAAAAAATCTAGAAAAATAACGAATTGAGTTGGAGATAACCTTGGCATGGAGAGAAGAAACGTGCCGTTTTCTCCATGCCGTGCCACGCCTCTTAAATCAGGAGGGACTTCCCTGCCAGCGTGTGTGTTTTCAGACATTTGTTTGCAAGTTACCTGGAAAGGGGGGAGGCTTTCCATGTTTGTGTGTGATTCTTAGGGGCACGGATGCAGTTTTGATTGTTCCAGTTCCCTGATTTTTTTTCTCTCTCTCTGTGTCCTGTCTATCTCTGTCATTTCAGACCAGGCCACTGAAATCAAGTCCAAACCGGTAAGAATGGAATATTTATAATTTCTAACATGTCCAGATTCCGAGGTGGAAAGAAAGTCAAGTTAGGAAAATGGAAAATTGGGGCCAGATTTTAGAATCCGTGTTCAATGTTGGGAGAGACGAACGGCCTGCTTAAGGATGGACCCACTATATTTCATTAATTCCACCTTTCCTTCGTGGCAGTTTGTTCTACAGATTTGGGCAAGCCGTCGTATAGGTAGTCCCCGACTTATAACCGTTTGCTTAACGATGGTTCGAAGTTACGACGGCCTTGGAAAAAGTTGCTTACGACCTGTACTCACACTTACGACCGTTATGTATCACCCTTGTGGTCATGTGATCCCAATTCAGTAATCTTGGCAACCAGCTTGCATTTACGACCCGTGGCCGTGTCCTGTATTCACATGATCATATCCATTGGGGAAACTGGATTCATTTAACAACCACACGGTTTGCTTAACTGCTTAACGACCATCGTAAAAATTATCATAAAATCCGGCCTGATTCAACTTATGACGGCAATTACTTAAGACTGAAAGTCTAGTCCCGGTTATGGTCATTAAGTCAAGGACTACCTGTACGTATCTCCAGATTATTTGAAAACTAAAAAAATAAAAACAAAACCCAAATAAGAACTTGCTGTATCCTGTAGACCAAGTTGCTGCTAAGGTGCACCATACTTTTGTCATTATTATTATTTAATCATTAATACCAATTATGCCCTGACCTTAATGGATTCTAAAGACTCGGGGACTTGAGCGGCTATCCCCAAGGTAAGTAAAGTATAGTCCCAGTTCAGACAATCAGAATCCCCCTTGGGTAAGTTTGGGTAAGTTAATAATTTCTATAATAGAGTCCGTTACTTGCCACTGAGATCCAGGAAGAGTATGAAGAAAACCAGATTCAGTTGTGAAATAAAATCCTTGCCGATAATGAGAGAATTTCCAAAACTGTTGAAAAAGAAAGAAAAAAAAAACAGATTAGGTAACTATACAGATACTTCTAGAGTCATTTTTCTCGGCCTCTTCAAATGCAGGAAGAGTTGCCACCTTCTCTTCACGGATGTGCTCCGGTGCCTTTAACTGGGCACAACTACTGGGAGTGATCATGCATGCCTAAAAGTTAAACTAGCAGAGTCCATAATCCCTCTAGAGCGGGAGTCCCCAAGCTTGGGCAACTTTAAGACTTGTGGACTTCAACTCCCAGAATTCCCCAGCCAGCCATGCTGGCTGGGGAATTCTGGGAGTTGAAGTCCACAGGTCTTAAAGTTGCCAAGGTTGGGGACCCCCGCTCTAGAGGAAACGGGCAAGATGCAAAAAAATAATTAAAATAGAAAAGCTTTGAATAATAGCTTGGCAAATTAAATTATTTCTTTTGCATATTTCACAATGGACTTCCCGTGCTTTCCGAATAATTCACAGGCGTGCTGTGAAACGCTGAACTAATTAATGTTGGCATGCCTTGGTTTGGTATCTGTCTCCAAAGACGTGTGTTTTTGTGTCATTGCTGCTATTCCTGTTTCCCCGTTTCTTCCTTCGTGAAGAGCTGACGAAGCAGGGAAGGGGCTAATTCCGCACAGATTTCCACCCCAAGGCCCCTATCGTTCTGTGTTCTGTGTTCTAATCTCTCCGTCTCTTCCCCTTCCTCTTTTGCAGGGTGAAGAAGACGTACAATATTCAACACTAGCTTTCAACCCCAAAAACACTTCTCAACCNGTGAATTTTAAATAGGGAATAATTTTTAAAAATTTTCAAAGATTTTAAATATGACACAGCTATTAATATATTTGCTTTTTAATTGGTTTTATAGGGGAAATGTTTTTTTTGTGTTGTTTTTTAACATGCTGTGAGCCGCCCTGAGTCCCTCTGGGGAGAAGGGCGGCATAGAAGTTTAAATATAAATAAATAAATAAATGGATTCTAAAGACTCGGGGACTTGAGCGGCTATCCCCAAGGTAAGTAAAGTATAGTCCCAGTTCAGACAATCAGAATCCCCCTTGGGTAAGTTTGGGTAAGTTAATAATTTCTATAATAGAGTCCGTTACTTGCCACTGAGATCCAGGAAGAGTATGAAGAAAACCAGATTCAGTTGTGAAATAAAATCCTTGCCGATAATGAGAGAATTTCCAAAACTGTTGAAAAAGAAAGAAAAAAAAACAGATTAGGTAACTATACAGATACTTCTAGAGTCATTTTTCTCGGCCTCTTCAAATGCAGGAAGAGTTGCCACCTTCTCTTCACGGATGTGCTCCGGTGCCTTTAACTGGGCACAACTACTGGGAGTGATCATGCATGCCTAAGAGTTAAACTAGCAGAGTCCATAATCCCTCTAGAGCGGGAGTCCCCAACCTTGGGCAACTTGAAGACTTGTGGACTTCAACTCCCAGAATTCCCCAGCCAGCCATGCTGGCTGGGGAATTCTGGGAGTTGAAGTCCACAGGTCTTAAAGTTGCCAAGGTTGGGGACCCCCACTCTAGAGGAAACGGGCAAGATGCAAAAAATAATTAAAATAGAAAAGCTTTGAATAATAGCTTGGCAAATTAAATTATTTCTTTTGCATATTTCACAATGGACTTCCCGTGCTTTCCGAATAATTCACAGGCGTGCTGTGAAATGCTGAACTAATGTTGGCATGCCTTGGTTTGGTATCTGTCTCCAAAGACGTGTGTTTTTGTGTCATTGCTGCTATTTCTGTTTCCCCGTTTCTTCCTTCGTGAAGAGCTGACGAAGCAGGGAAGGGGCTAATTCCGCACAGATTTCCACCCCAAGGCCCCTATCGTTCTGTGTTCTGTGTTCTAATCTCTCCGTCTCTTCCCCTTCCTCTTTTGCAGGGTGAAGAAGACGTACAATATTCAACACTAGCTTTCAACCCCAAAAACACTTCTCAACCACTCTCCAAATCCCCCCAGCCTTTGGACAGCGGTATCATTTATTCTGAAATCAAGAAAAAATGATTGTGGATTCATCCTTGTTTGTTGGGGGGACGGCGGTGTTATTTAACCCCCTTCTGCTTCCTTCCTCTCTCGGCTGGATTTTGATGGCGAGCTTTTCTGGGGGAAGAAGGAAGATAAATTGATTTTCTCCAAAAAGGAGGGGTAAGAAATCCCTTCCAACGTGATCAATTACTGTCCAGATGCCGTTCCGGCCTCTCAAGTTGGATGCAAAACCGCAACGACAGTGGAGTTTCTCTTCAGGATGTAATAACAGGGTTGGCAGCCTCGTGGGAGACCCAGCGTACGTTTTATCATGTTGAGACTTCTGCTTGTGGAAACGGGGTGGCTGCTCCATCCACCAAACGGGGCAGGAAGCAAAAACAAGAGCTTGTATTTTCATTCCCTGCCTTCCCTCCCATTCTCGTCCTCGCTGTGATTCCGGAGTGTGCCAAACGGTCCTTCTTTTGTTTTTGCAATTTGAGATTGGTGTTGTCAGCCAGCTGTGGCTCCCTTACCCTCGTGGGCTTTTCGTGCCACGTGAAAAATAATAATAATAATAAGAATAAAAAGGTCTCGTTTCTCAGAAAAGCACGTGACGTGCTGTTGGTCCACGCTGTTTTTCAGAAGCCAGAGGAGCTGATTTTTTTCCAGCCAGATTCCGGCAGCTTCTAGATCAGGGGTAGGCAACCTTGGCTCTTTTAGGACTCGTGGACTTCAACTCCCAGAATACCTGAGCCAGCATGGCTCAGCTTGGAAACCTCTCCTTTTCCCCTCAGCATGGCTGGCTCAGGAATTCTGGGAGTTGAAGTCCACGAGTCATAAAAGAACCAAGGTTGACTATCCCTGTTCTAGAGCCTCAAATATCCCTTTGCATTTTTACTCTAATCAATAGGTAGACATGGGATGCTGTTCCTCAAGGTTGTAGCGGGAAAGTGGTGGCCACAAAGGGCATTGTGATCTGCCTTCTGGAGCCTGTTCTTGTTTTCTCCAGATCAGCCACACTAACTAGAAGACAGAAGCAAAGGAAGAACGACCAGGAGCCAGATAGTGACACGAGCGAGGCTAAACAGTGAGGTTCCTGTTTGAAAAATAACTTTTCCCAGTTGTTGTTGGGTTTTTTTTGTCCAGCAAACTGGCATTTCGTGGGCAGGAGGGAAGGAAAAGAAACAAAATTTAGCCTTCCCAGCGAGGTTTTGCATTAATTCTTGAGCACCGGATGAAAATGTCTTTGGGTTGATTGACAGTTCCAGAGCTTTGGATGTACTTTCTGGAAAAAGACCATCTCTTCGGGCCGGTCCCAGCTCTTCAGATGGACCGGCTACAAGGAAAAGCAGCTTTTAAATAAAATGAACTGCCAATGTACAAGAATTGTAAATACAGGGCCCAAATGCTAGATTAGCTCCAGAAAAATGCTTGAGCTGGGCAGAAAGGAAGCCTGCTTCATTGAAAGCATCCAAGCATGGAGTGTGTGTGTGTGTGTGTGTGTGTGTGTGTGTGTGTGTGTGTGTGTGTGTTTGGCCAAGGGTGTCTCCTCACTTTGCAAAAAAAAACACCACCCAACTGTCTTAATAATTTACCCAGCTTGCCTGCGTTAGAATTAGCCAGTCTGTCTTGTCTCCATTTAAGTCTGCAGCAGGAGAGGAGAAAATTTTTATTTTTTAATATCCACTGCTTGGGGTTAGGATAGCCAGTTCAGGGCCTCCACTCCCCCCTCCCCCTTCCCTGTTCCTTTCCTTTGGCCAAAAAATGCCAATTTATCCCTACACGGTGCGATAGCATCTCGTACAACCTGAGCCTCACAACTAATTGCTGGGTGTGGCTTCACAGCCTGTGATCACACTAAGCTTTGGGGCGAGAGGACAATGGCGCAGTGTTTTGGAATAAGGACGTTGCATTTACGTTGCCCCGTCTCCACATTAAACCGTCTGTCATCCTGTTGTTTTTTTTTTTCTTTTTCTTTCTTTCTGGAAACAGCAGAATCGACGAAGGAACTCCATCCAGAGACCTCGTGTTAATTGTTGTATTTGGCTTGGCGGGTTGTTTCGGAGTGGTTTTTAAGCCGATTTTCAATGGATGTGTCTGGATATTGCTTTTAATTTAAATAAAAAAAATTAAAACAGGAGAAAAGAGGCGAGTCTGTATATCATTAGCCCTTTTTTTAAAAAAATCAGAATTGCTCTCTGTGGCGGGGACTAACAACTGTTCAATTTGTTGCCTTCCAGATGTTGGGGGGTGGGGGCAATAAAGGAGAATACTTATAGCTTGGGGTTGAAATGAGGGGTCCTTGGTGCTCTCTGAGCTTGGTGGTTTTCTTGCAGACATTTCTATAGCCAACTAGGTAACAGCATCAGTGCTAGAGGGGAATGGGGTTTGCAGGGAGGAGGAGGAGGAGGAGGAGGAGGAGGAGGAGGAGGAAGACTACTGTGGGGTCCTTGGTGCTCTCTGAGCTTGGTAGTTTTCTTGCAGACGTTTCATTACCCAACTAGGTAACATCATCAATGCTAGAAGGGAGTAAGGTTTGTGGAGAGGAGGAGGTGGAGGAGGAGGAGGAGGAGGAAGAGGAGAAGGAGGATGGGGACTACTGTGGAGTCCTTGGTGCTCTCTGAGCTTGGTAGTTTTCTTGCAGACATTTCATTACCCAACTAGGTAACCACATCAGTGCTGGCAGGGGGCAGGGAATCCCATTCCCAAAATTCATAGCCTTTCTGGTCTCTTTCTCTCTTTGGATTGCATGCATGGAGAGGCTGCAGGAAAACAGTTGTGGGGCTGACAATGTTATCTCAGGTTACCAAGTGACCAGAAATGTTCACGTGTATATATTGGCTTGTGTTCAACTTGGTAACTCACAAATATTTCAGGATGGGTGGGTGATTGGAGACAGTCCTAAACATTCAGCAGGCACAAGTTTTGACAGGGTTATTTAAAAGGCCACTGTTCTTTCAGATAACAGTAACTCCTTACATACCTAAACACTTCAATACAGCACTCCATAATTATCCTGCAGTATATAATTAAGCAGTTTCTCTGCAGTCAGTGCGGTACACAGAATGTTGGTGATCTTTGCACATTTTATTTCTTTATTTCTTTCCTGTCTTTATTATTTTTACAAATAATTCAAGGCGGTGAACATATCCAACACACCTCCTTCCTTCTATTTTCCCCACAACAACCCTGTGAGGTAGGTTGGGCTGAGAGGGAGAGACTAGCCCAAAGTCACCCAATTGGCTTCCATGCCTAAGGTGGGACTAGAACTCACTGCCTCCTAGCGATTGGCCCAAAGTCGCCCAAGCGGCTTCCGTGCCTAAGGTGGGACTAGAATTCTCCATCTCCTGGTGATTGGTCCAAAGTCACCCAGCCGGCCCAAGGCGGGACTAAAACTCCTTGTCTCCTGGTGATTGGCCCAAAGTCACCCAGTTGGCTTCCATGCCTAAGGTGGGACTAGAATTCACCGTCTCCTGGTGATTGGCCCAAAGTCACCCAGCTGGCTTCCATGCCTAAGGTGGGACTAGAACTCACCTTCTCCTGCTCTCTAGCCTGGTGCCTTAACCAGTAGACCACATTATTCACATATACCTGAATACGTTGAAGATCCTGGCATTCAATCAGGGCTGCTTCGCTACATTTTACAACCACGTCCATATTTTTAGGAGAATATTTTTGGATCAGACCACAGGCCAGCTGGGGAGGCAGAAAAAGAAAAGGCAGGTAAATATAGAAAAAGAGTAACTTCTGACTCTCTCCAGTACTGATATAAAAGACATTAATCTTTTGCTGTAAAATTAACCTTAATACAGGTAGACCTCAACTCACCACCATTTAATGACTGTTGGGGAATGTGATGGCTCCCGTGGTTGGGCACTGGGTCGACGATCAGCAAGCCCGGGTTTGAGAGCCGGTTGCTGCTGTGAGGTGGGGCGAGCTGTCATTCACTCCAGCGCCTGCCGAACCAGCAGTTTGAAAGCGGGCGACCACGACTACATAGATGGGTACCACTTTGGTGGGACATGAAAGGATCCCCCAACCGGGTAGTCCTCTGGGGCAACAATGATGTCACCAGCTAATGCTTTCATCCCCAAAGTGCCTTATGAAAATTTCTCACACGACCATTGCAGTATCCCGATGGTCATGTGATCAAAATTCAGACGCTTGGCAATTGACTCATGTCTATCTGTCATGCCCGCCCGTCCATCTATCTATCTATCTATCTATCTATCTATCTATCTATCTATCTATCTATCTATCTATCTATCTATCTATATCATTTATCTATATCCTCTGTTTGTCTATATCTATCTATCATTTATCTATATCATCTATCTGTCTGTCTGTATATGTCTGTCCATCATCTGTCTGTCTGTATATCTATCTATCTATCTATCTATCTATCTATCTATCTATCTATCTATCTATCTATCTATCTATCTATCTATCTATCTATCTATCATCTGTCCGTCTGTCTATTTGTCTATCATCTATCATGTTTATATCGTATATCTATTATCTATCTGTCTGTTTGTCTGTCTATTTGTCTGTCTATCATCTATCTATTTGTCTGTCTATCATCTATATATCGTATATTATCTTTCTGTATCTATCTATCTATCTATCTATCTATCTATCTATCTATCTATCTATCTATCTATCTATCTATCTATCTATCATCTATCTATCTATCTATCTCACCTGTCTGTCTATCTGTCTATCGATCTATCTATTATCTGTCTATCATCTATCTATATCTATTGTATATCTATTATCTATCTATCATCTGTCTATCTGTCTATCTATCTATTGAACACAACACAAAAGCCAGCATGACTGTTCAAAGTTAACAATAGCACTGAAAAAAGTGATTTATCACCATTTTTCACACGGCCATTGCAGGATCCCCTTACTCATGTGATCAAAATTCAGACGCTTGGCATTTGACTCCTATTTATCGTGGTTATCTTTCACGACCTTCGGATAAGCAAAAGTCAGTGGGGGAAGCCAGATTCACGTTAACAACTGTGCTAATAACT